TGATGTGGATAGAGTGTGGTCAGCAGTGATGTGGATAGAGTGTGGTCAGCAGTGATGTGGATAGAGTGTGGTCAGCAGTGATACGGATAGAGTGTGGTCAGCAGTGATGTGGATAGAGTGTGGTCAGCAGTGACACAGATAGAGTGTGGTCACAGCAGTGACACAGATAGAATGTGGTCACAGCAGTGACACAGATAGAGTGTGGTCATTTAGATATATGCCTAGAACTTGTGCTTGGTTCCTGGTGCAATGCTCAGGGGCAGGACTTTTTGTGAATGCCTGGACCCCAAGGGCTCTGACCTAATCAATGTATTGGTGGGCCCATAATTTGAAAGTATGACTCAGAAATGGTAGAAACCATGACATAAGGCCTAGTTTGCAGAAGTAATTCACTTGGGGTGTGACCCTGAAAGGTCTACTTGGTCCCTAGTTCTTCCTTTCTCTCTCTCTGCTTCCTGGCCATATGAAGCAGCTTTGCTCCACATTATGTGGTCCTCATGATGTGCTATCTCACTGAGGGACCAAAAGCACCAACCAGTGGCCACAGACTGAGACCTCTGACACTAGTGGTCAAAATTAATCTTGCTGTGACATGTTGACTCGGTGTCCTTCAGGTCCATGCCCAGGAGTGGCAAACTTGGGTCATATGGTAGATCTAGTTTTAGTTTTTTGAGAAACCTCCATACTGATTTCCACAGTGGGTAGACTGGCTGGCACTCCAAGCGCAGTGTGTGAAGGGTCCCCCTTTGCATTGATTTGCTTCTGGATCTTTGTCATAGTGATGAAAAGTGGATTGTCCAGAGTATTTTCCATGCTCACTTCAACAGCAATCTATCTAACTATTATCTATCTATCTATCTATCTATCTATCTATCTATCTATCTATCTATCTGTCTATATTGAGAACATTGAATTGGGCAGTGAGTGAATGGGCTCCTAGCGGTGTCCTTTCCACTGACAATCATACAGAGAATAGAGAAGGTCTTCACCCTGCATGGGATACCACTTCTTCCTTAGTCCATGCATCTGTGTCTCCAGTGGCCATGAACAAGCTAATGAATACAATTAAATAAAGCGCTTTGTAGTCGCAAGTGAGCGTTCTTGTTGTCAGGAACTTTTTAGGAGTGTTTTTAAGTTCGTAGAATTTAGGAGGATGAGAATTAGTAAACCCACGTGTCTGGAGAATTGCAGAATTACAGTTTCTTCCAGTCATGGCCAACCTGCAACATATTTGTACCCTGCCCTGAGTGACAAGCTGAGCTGTCAAGGGACAAGTTCAGACCCCAGAGTATATGTTCAAACCCATTCCTCATCCTGCAATGTGTCTGCACTGTTCAGTTTAGCCTCCAGAAATCAGCTAGGAATGTTTACGTGTTAGAAGCACGTTCTCAAGAAAAATTCTTCAGGGTGCTCAAAGCTTTCTGGTCTTCTGGAGGAAATGCTAGCCCCGAATTCTACTCTCCTCTGTATCAGGCATGTCAGGGCAAATTTTGCATTGGGTACCATATTGAGGACTATAGAACACAGTAAGATACAGCCCCACCACTGAGGATCTCCAGTTCAGTGACCATGCTGCATCAAGGCTGTGCCAGGGATGCTCAGTCGAAACAGAACATCTCAGAAGCAGGATGTGTTCATTTTGCGGAGTGTCAGGGAGCTTAGTGTGGCTTGTGTATGAGGTATCCCCCAAAAGGCTGGTGTATTGAAGGCTTGGTCCCTAGCTGATAGCTCTAATCATTGAGAAGTGATTAGGGCATGGGCTAGTCCATGGATCAATCCATTGATTGGTTGATGTTCTGATGGAGGTATTGGAAGGTGATAGAAAGAAGGCTGTAGGGGACTGACTGGAGAAGGTAGATGACTGGGGATTGATCTTATCCCCTCCCCTTCCCATCTGGCTTTTGTTTTTTGGCTGCCGTATGCGGAACAGCCATTTGCTACAGCAATAGTCTGCCTCATGGAGCAGGGTGACTGTGGACTGATGTCTCTGAAACCAGGGACCAGAAGAAGTTCTTCTTTCAATTGTTTTTGTCCAGGTTTTGACATGGCGATGAAACTAACGGAATGATAGAGACTTGGGTGTGGGCCATGAGTGCCGAACTTTAGGATCTGGGGGTGTCTTGGGGTACTTCTGTCTGCTTGTAGGACTTTTGACTCGGTGGTGATACAGAGTTAAATTTGTGTTGTCATCAAGGCAAAGGAAAAGGACTTCATGAAGATCTGCGGAAAGGAAGTTTGCTATGGTGATGGAGTTATTGTCCCATTTATTCTCAGTATTACGACTCCAGTGTTGCTCTGTGGTAAGGGAGTGGGGGACAGTAGGTTAGGTTTCATAGTTTCTTTCTTGTTTAAGTTGATACAACCCCCCCCATATCGCACTGTCGATATCATACACTTTTTTCTGACCCCTAGACCTCCACCACCTGTCCTCATCAGGCCTCTCAGTCATTTTGAATTCTACAGAATCGACGCCCCCCAGGAAAAGGGCACAGTGAGCTGAGCGCTGATGGACTTCACCTTTTCTGGCTTTGTGTGTGTACAAAGTGCACAGTGGTATGGCAGTTCTGTGGAGGGCCTTTAATCTAAGGCTCTGAAGAATGCTTGAACTGCTGTGTTCAAACAAGGTTAAATGTTAAATGGATCTCTTTATTGTGGAATTGCATTTTTTTTGTTTTGCATACTTCATTAAATGCTAAGTTTGCTTCGTAATATATTTTAGAAGTCACAGACTAAAACTTAATTCTAATATTGATTTTAATTTCCAAGTTTGCTTCCTGTTCTCCATAGGTTGGTTGGTTGGTTGGAGACAGGTTTCTACTATGTAGCCTTGGCTGTCTTGGACTCACAGAGATTTTCCTGTCTCTGCTTCCTGAATGCTGGGATCAAAGGTGTGAGCCACCATGCCCTGCCTCCATTCCTCACAGTTTTTACTCTTTAGTTTAAAAAAATAAAAAGATTGGGAGAAATACTCTCCCCCAGGAAAGAGCACACCAGTTGGTTATTCAATATGAAATGGTCAGGCCTGAAAACATAATATAAGTAACATTATACAGAATGAGCAGAGTATTTAGGAATATATGTTTACACACACAGCAATAACAACAGCAACAATAATTAATGAAAAAGGAGGCCATGGATTTGAAAGAGAGTAAGGAAGGGTATCTGGAAGGCTTTGGAGGGAGAAAAGGGAAGGGGGGAAAGACATAGTTATAATCTCAAAAAACAAGAAAAACTTAAGAATTTATTTTTAAAAACTGTGTCTTTGTCTCCTCTGTCCCAACAATTGCTTATCGGTTATGTGGTCACAGGAATGTGCCTCCTGAGTCTTGTAAGTTTTGAAAACTTCCTGAGTCTTACAATTCATCCTGTTTTTAAGAAAAGACACCTTTGTTCTGCTTTTCCTTTGTGACAGGGTGGGGTGGGGGTGGGGTGGTGGGGGGAGGGGGGATCCTCACTATATGGTCTGCTCCAAAGTTCCCCATGCCCCCTCCTCATCTTCCTGAAGGTGGGATTACACATATGCTACCACTGTGGAGGGGCTGAACCCTGTGCTCTTGGTTCTGTTCTCCGGAACCACTGGTGAGATGGGACCTTCCACATGGCTGCCTCTGAGAACATTCACATGGTCACAAGTGTCTTGGGGAAGCAGAAGGTGGTGAGGACTCACTTGGAGGGAGCTTATGAAGTATTGTTGTGATTGATTGGGTGGTCCCAAATCCCCAGAGTCTGATGTATTCAGGGGATACTTGTTTGTGGTATATCCAAAGTGCGTCTTAAAGCTGAGTATTCACTTGGTTTTAAAATTCTGGGAGGCAGCTACCCCAGAGCCAGCCACAAAGCGAAGTTTAACTAGATACTTGCAGAACAGACCAAGCTAGGACGCTAGTTTCCTAGAGGTCTTTAGAGAATGCTTAATCAGGGCGAGAAATGGAGCCTGAGAAGTTTGGGGACAGGGCAGCTGGAGGGAGTCTGGGATGGGGCTTTCAGCAACCCTGCTGAACACGCTTTTGTCTGGTGAATGCCTGAGCCAGAGGCCCTAACTCTTTCAGCGCCCTTCCATGCTGACAATACCAGGCAGGATTCTGAGCTCACCACCCACTGTGCATTTCTTTTCGCCGGAGAAAGGTCTGGAGAACAGGGGCTCAAGAACACACCAACAGGCGCAACCCAGACCCAAGCTGGGGAAAGCGCTTTGGTGAACCTTTCTCCCGGCCGTGTTAACGCTGACAGTTCGCCCCTCTTTACCCCAAGAAGGAAGCCCTCAAGTCCCGAGGTCGGAGTGGCTGCAGTGTGATCCCGCGCTCCCTGGAGGGGCGGTCCGGGTATTGCCGACGGAGGTCCCTCACTGTCCCCATTTCTCCCAACTCCTCTGGAAGCCGGGAGGGAGCCTAAACTGAGGTCAGATTTGTTGGAGAGGATGCGGATGAGCAGAGAGCAGCAGCCTAGAGGGTGGAGGGATCCAGTGGGGTCCTGGGAAGGGGCAAGTGCCGTGGCTAGACAGTGGGCGGCGGTCTAGGAGAGAGGGAAGAGGTGAGGCCATGCGGAGAAGCGAGAGGCTTAGTCTTGGGGAAGAAAAGTGGAAAAGAAAGTGGAAAAGGTGACCAGGGTGGGTTGGTCGCGGTGGTGGGTAGGTGGCTGGATCCCGGAGCGGATCCCCACGCAGCGCCGGGACTCGGAGGCTGTGCCCCGAGGCCAGTTTCCCCTCCCGCCGCCCCTCCCCCTCCCCGCCCCTGGAGCTGCGGAGCGGCGACCCGAGCGCGGGGCTGGCGATGGCGCGGGCGGCAGGCGCGCGGGGCCGGGCTGCCCGATGCGGGCGCTGGCGGCGGGGCGCGCTGCTCGCCTTCGCCGCCTGGACCGCCGGCTGGGTGCTGGCGGCCGCGCTGCTGCTCCGCGCGCACCCGAGCGTCCTCTCCGAGCGCTGCACCGACGAGAAGAGCCGGCGCATCCTGGCCGCGCTGGTAGGTCCCGCCGCCGCATTGCCCACTGTCGTGCGTCCGGGTTGGGTTCCCAGACACCTTCCCCGGGTCCTCGGTCACCGCGTCACCTGTGATGTTGCAGCATCGTAGCGACCATCCCAATCGGGCAATGGGGTGGCCGGGGGACACCTGCCAAGGGGCGTGGAGGTCCCTACACGTGCCTGAAATACCGAGGCAAAGGACTAGGGGTCCGCAGCAGGGATCCGGGACATCCTTCCCCTTTTCTCCAAAATTGGTCTTGCATCCCGGGACTGTATTCCGGCGGGACACCCTGAACCTCTGCTTCAGGAGAAAGTTTGCGGGTGATTCTTGGTCTCTGGTGTCTACAACGGTTCAGGTGGCCAGGTTTGGAGGATACGCCTCCTTCCCGGGCTACCTCGCCCCTTAGGCCGCCGCCCTTAAGTGTTTCCACCTGGGCTGCTGGATCACCCCCACCTGCTCAAACCTCCTGATTGCTGTTTGGGCTCCTTCTCCCAGTGACCTAAAAGACAAGGCCTTTGGCTGTTAGGGTCCTGAGGAAAGGAGGCAGACACAGGCTAAGAAGCTTAGCCAGCCAGGGAGCCAGCTTCCCCTGCTCGACCAGGGTCGGTGCTTCATGGTGGTCCTCTAAAGCCAGGAGATCAGAGGATTCTCACAAAGCTGCTCCATAACCTGGCCCGGAGCTGTGGTGGATAGAAAGAAACATCTCATCAGTGGACTGCTGAATGCCCTGGGCCTTCGTCCCTGAAGTAAAATGCTCATCCCCACCCCCACCCCACTCCCCCAGTATTCTGCTTGAGAGTTTATGCTTAAGGGAGACCTGACCACAGGCAGCCATCCCAGGACCTTAGAAAGGAGGAGAAAGTAGCCTGTACTTGCTTCCAATCGGTGACAATTCACGCCCTAAAATAGTGACCACCTGCTCATTTGGTTTGAACCCTCGAAGAAACGCTGGTGTGTGTGTGTGTGTGTGGGGGGTTCAGTGCACTTGCTTATAAAGGTGTTTTTTTTTGTTTTTGTTTTGTTTTCAGTTCAAAACGTAGTAAGTATTTTTTTTAAGGCTCTTTCAAAGGAGATTGGAAAAAATTAAGCAACCAAAGCATGTTTCCATACTAAATAAATGGTGCTGCTGTCCCCTGTTAACCTGCTTCCTTGACACAGGGACATAGACTTTCTGTCCACTGCTCACTGCTTAACTGAACTTCTATCAAGTTTTAAGTTGCAAGATCTCATTGATTTTTCCTGATAACCATCTAAAAATCCCTTCCCTTGTAGAGATCTTTCCCTGCTATTTTGGTGAAGCTGGCTGACTAAGACAACAAAATTTAATAGTTTGGCTAAGACCCAGGTCCCGTTTACAAACTTAATATATTCTTTTAGATTAAAATGGGACACAAAGCCCATTATTTATTTATTTACCTTTGGTCATGCTGAGAAAGGCCTAATGGAAATTAAATTGACCGATATAATTTAAGTAATTGGTAGTCATAACTTTCCCAGCATTCCAGGCTGTAAATTAAAACCAATTCTGTTTAGAAGCTTTACCAATATGTCTTCAGTGCAGCCATATGGGATCATTTTTAGTCTGACAGAGAGCTGAAAAGATTGATTCTGTCTTTGACAGCTCTCAATCTTAACTCTTGCCAAATTCCCAAAGCCATTTCCCCAAAGTTTGCTGGAGTCCCAGGTGAACTGCTGTGGGGAACGTTGTGGATGCCTTTGTGAATTCTCCACACAGCAAATGTCTCTCTTTACATTTGCACCTCCTTTCTCGATGCTTTCATTCTGAATCTGCTGAGGCAAAACTGAGAAAGTACCCTGACTCAACGTTTACCTAAGACCCTAAATTAGGGCAGACTAGAATGCTACTCCAGCCAGGCAGCTGCCAAGCAGAGGTTGGCACTGTGGCTCCTAAGGGCTGGATCTGAATCGGGCCTCTGTGTCCTGGCTCCCCCAGCACTTTGCATTTTGCCTGGCTTTCATCCTACATAATAAAACCGGTTGTTATTTTTCTGACTGGCCTCCAGACTCTCATTAGCTTTCACTCTGAGTACCCAGAGCACACAAGATGTTAGAGCCAAAGGGAGGTTCTCTCTGGCAGAGCCTGGAGTCCTGGTGAGTCTCTCATGCTGGAAGCCTGTGTTCCCAGTCCCCGGAGTGGCAGGTGGTATTGCCGGCTGGTAAGGAAAGCATACCTGCAGAAGACAGCAACCAGGTGGAAAAAAGCTGGTTGGAGGATAGATGGGGTGAGGGTCTGCAAGTCCCCCTAGGGTCCCCTGCACTTGCAAAGACAAGAGTTCCTTGGAAAGCCAGCTTGACTTGTTTTGACAGCTTCAAGCCCTGGGTCCTTTGGATTTCCAGCGTCTTTCCTGCTCCCTTTGTGTGACTTTTCAGTTAACCTGTCATTGAGGAAGGGGTACTCCTTCTGGGTTGGCTGTGAGGTTGTTAAAACCTTATTTCTCCAGGGAGCTGTGTGTTGAGGCTCTGCTGGGCTGGGAAGTGGCTGGAGAGAATAATCATCGACACCCTAGCTTCTGCAGACAAGCACCTTCCAGAGCAGAAATGAGAGCGGAGATGCTCACAGCTGGTACCTGTCTATGTCCACTCTGCCCAGCAGCGTGCTCAATGGTACAAGCCATATTATTACACGTAATCTTCTCAACAAACTCTATGAAGTTTTCGCTATTGGAACCTCCCATCTTGCAGATGGAAAATTAAGTCTGGGAAGGCGACATAACATTGTCCTGCTTGATAAAGTAAATGTGTTGAGGATCCAAGACGCTGTTCTGTGACTTGGACAGTAGAGACCCCGAGGGGGTAAGAAGCCTGTATACGGCAAACCCTGAGAAGCAGCTTAGGGAGTTCCTCACTCTACATAGCTGCTGTTTTCAAAGCCTCAACAATCTCCCCATAGATTGTAGTGTTCAGAAACTTTAACTGCTTCGGGACTAGTCAGGTGCTATGGGATTTAGTACTGTTGCCTATGGTAAGGGTTTGCTTCCTTCCTTCCTTCCTTCCTTCCTTCCTCCCTCCCTCCCTCCCTCCCTCCCTCCCTCCCTTCCTTCCTCCTTCCTTCCCTCCCTCCCTCCCTCCCTCCCTCCCCCCCTCCCTCCCTCCCTCCCTCCCTCCCTCTTTCTTTCTTTCTTTCTTTCTTTCTTTCTTTCTTTCTTTCTTTCTTTCTTTCTTTCTTTCTTTCTAAAAGGGTAAGCCTATCTTTTTTTGTGTGATGATAGAGCCCCAGGGGACCCAGCAGCCTGGGCCTCTGCCCAGAAAGATTTTGTAGCAGTGAGCAGCCCTTTCTACAAAGCTTCAGCCACGTTTGCAGAGGAGGGTTGGCATGAGTGGCAGTGGTGAGGTTGGGGGAGTGGAGGGCTTCTTTCTGAGAATCTGTAACACTCAGGGCAGCTTCTTGGGGAAGAACTATTCTCACGAAGTCTGAGTGCTGTCAATTACATAGGCACTTAGTGCTTCCTAGCCTCATAGGTGATCCAATCTCAAGTGGTTAGCCCTGGACATGTGTAAATGAGCAACGCCAAATGTACTCATTGAGTTGTGTACACATGTTACACATATACTATAATATTTAAGGAAGAGGTCATGACTTTGGGAAGGGGCCATGGGAGGAGTTGGATGGGGAGGGATGTGACGGCGTGTGTTTGTGCACATCCACGGGAAACACAGACTTGCTGTGTATTTTATTGCTATAGGACTGTGCCAGCCGAGCTGCCAGGGAAATTAGCTCTGTTGGTAAAGCGCTTTCCTCACAAGTATGAGGATCTGAGTTCTGTTCCCAGAACCCACTTAAAAAGCCAGGCATGGTGGTACATGCTTGTAGTCCTAGAGATGAGGAGGGAGAGAAATAGCCCGGTTTTTAATACAGACTTAAACAACTTTTGTTGAAACAGTAGGATATGCTGCTGATAAAGGAACCCAGCCATTAGCACTCACATAATGAAAGTTTCCAAATTACCCTTTAAGCTTGCAATTTGTATGTTGAGCTTATTGGTTTCTTATTTGCTGGATTGTCTTTCTCTGTATCCAGCAGACACAGGCATGCCAAGCTCCAGAGAGTGTAGTTTAGCACGAGTAACTAGCCAGTCATAGGCAAGAGAGTTCACCATCCATAGAAGACATGTGGGAGCTAAGGTGCAAAGCATGCATCAGACACAAAGTAACAGAAGCTGCTCTGCAATAAATGCACTTGTGTTCAAAGCATGCATCAGACACAAAGTTACAGTGGCTGCTCTGCAATAAACGTACTCGCATATGCTTCCGAGTGCTCACTCTAATGTGAATTTCTCTTTCTTGGCCATTGAGAAGTTGTAGTAGCTGGCAGGCTTGGGGGCCTTTGGTCACCCCGCTTCACACCCTGCCCTTTCTGACACTGGGCTTCCCAGCAAGCCAATGCACTGATCTCCAGAAAGCAGCCGGCATGACCACCATCCCTCAACCCCGTAGGTTCAAAGTCTCTCCTGACTCAGATTTGCTGGGGTGAATTTCCTGGACATTTCAATGGTTTTTGTTTTATTTCACTGCTGGAACAGATCTGTATATAAAGCAATATGCTGGTGAGTCCAATGCAGATAACATTCACATGGCAGTTTAATGAGAGCTGGGAGCAGAGAGAGAGGTCAGGAGTAAGGAAGTTTTCTGAGAATTTGATAGAAGCGGGTTGGGAAGCTGGTCAGTGAGATGGGGACAGGAAAAGGACTTTTCTGGAGGTGAGGTTTGTTTGAGACAGTGTCTCACTACCGACCAGGCTGGCCTCAAAATATGGCAGTCCTCTGTCCCAGTTTCCCTGTGCCAGGATCACAGTGCCAAGCTTGAAATAGCAAAATTTTAGACTTTCTTTTTTCTGTGTGTGTGTGTGTGTGTGTGTGTGTGTGTGTATATGTATGTATGTGTGTGTATGTGTGTGTGTGCATGTGTATGTGTGTGTGCATGTGTGTGTGTGCATGTGTGTATGTGTGTGCATGTATATGTGTGTGTATGTGCATGTGTGTGTGTCTGTGCATGTGTGTGTGTATGAGTGTGTGCATGTGTGTGTGTACATGCATCCTACAGAGTAGGATTTGTACAGCTCAGAGTGGAACCTTGGGTGTTGGTCCTCACTTGCTACCTTGTTTGAAACAGAGTCTCTTCATTGGTTACCACCAGGTGTACCAGAGATTCTCGTTTCTGCCTCCTTGCCGTAGGAGCACCGGGGTTACAGATGAGTGTTAACACATCTAATGGGGATCTAGACTCCGTTTCTCATGGTTGTGCAGCAAGCATGTTGCTCGCTAAGCCGTATTCCAGGCCCTGGAATAGCATTTTTTTTTTTTTTTTTTTTTGGTTTTTCGAGACAGGGTTTCTCTGTGTAGCTTTGCGCCTTTCCTGGATCTCGCGCTTTAGCCCAGGCTGGCCTCGAACTCACAGAGATCCGCCTGCCTCTGCCTCCCGAGTGCTGGGATTAAAGGCGTGCGCTACCACCGCCCGGCTGGAATAGCATTTTTGATAGACTGTTCCAGTCTGGCCCAGGTCCATGCTTTAACTTTAGCTCTTCGTTCTGAAGAACCCTTTCGCTTGGTGCTTCGTGAAAACTCGGGCCGTCACAGAACCACCCTCTGCTTCGCTGCCTGACCAGGCTCCCTTCACCGTCAGCGCTGAGGTCAGCCCGCGTCCTCCAAGAAGGAGCCCTGACCCCACTCTCTCACAGCCGGCTCTGGGAGGCTGGAGAGGGGAGACTGCATTGCCCAGGGCCACAGTGCTAGGGATGGTGCCTCCGACTGTTGGACCTTGTGACACCTCCTGTGACGCTGCACAGTTGTCCTGATTGTACGTGCTTAGAAACAAGCTGCACAGCCCTTGAGGGGCAGAGCCGAAGCTGACCTGCTGTGTTCATGCTGTGCCCTGCGGTGACTCAGGAGCCTCGCAGGTTCTGCTGTGAACTGAGTCTGGGAGCTGCGGCGGCAGGAAGGTGGCCCCGTGAGACTCACTCACAAATGGGTTAACCTGGAAAGTCGTCTGTGTTAATTTGTTCGTGTCAAGCTGGGGACAAAGCCTTAAGGCCTTATTCCAGACTAACCTTGGTGGGACTCGCTGGCTCCGGAGATTGCAGGTGTAACTCATGGTTTGTGGCGATGATCGCTGCAGTTTACATGAGAAGGGTGAGGGTCCTGGTAGTCAGATTCCCCTGCCACACACACTTTTAATACATAAGCAAAGGAGACCAGCTCGGTGGCCTGGCTGAGGTCTTGCCTGTGACCTCGTCTCCAGGGTCTCTTTAGGTTCCCCAGGGAATGGCTCCTCTCATGCCCCTTTGCAGCGGCGCTGAGAGATTCTGCAGCTCCCAGTCAGGTCCTCTCCCTTCCCACACCTACCATTCCTTCTTTCTCAGTTCTGCCCTGTGCTTCATGCAAGAGCATTTTTCAATTAAATTCCCAATGCAGTAACATCAGAGAAATGCTTGTGGAATTGATCCAAGCCACGTTTGGGTATCACACAGTTTCTCTTGTTCAATTTGAAAGGAACTCAAGAAACTGTTGCCTTTTCTTATCTGGTTCCTTATAGTGATGTGAAACTATAAATACCAGATAAAGTAGGACACACACACACACACACACACACACACACACACACACACACACACACTGAATAACACATACTGTTGTATGACCACATCTTCTCACTCACCGGTTGTCTCAGTACCTACCCTTCCCAAGACCATCGAGGAAGAAGCCTGACTAGCTGTTCCTTCCAGAGTGCTATGGGAGCACATAAGCAGAGTGACTGACACAAAGGTTTCCAGCCTTCCCATGCTCACTTCCTGCCCCCGTGCCTTGGAAAGAGGTCCCAGAGTTGAGGCTGAAGGACGGCCATTTCTTCCATGTGATGTCAAGACTTAAGAACACACAGCACCTGAGCACAACTCCAGGCAAGACCATTTTAAACAATGTTACCTGGTGACGTTCGTACAGTTGCATTATGGGGGCTGGGGAAATGTCTCAGCGGGCAAGTGCTTGCTGTACAAGTGGGAGGACCCGAGTTTACATCCTCACTGAACGTCAGGCATGGTGGCACGCACCCGTGACCCCAGCACTGGGGGTAGGGCAGAGACAGGCAGAGCCTGGGCCTTAGTGGCCAGCGGGGATAGCCAAAATAATGAGTTCCCAGTTCACTGAGAGACCCTGTCTCAAGAAAAAAAAAGGTAAAGAGTAATAAAGGAAGAAACCCACAGTTGACCTCTGGCCTCTATATCCATAGGCATACACACACCACCACCATCACTACCACCACCACCACCATCACCACCACCACCACCACCACCACAGCCACCAACAAAAGTCTGGGCATATGGTGCCATTCTCTAGCTGGGAGATCAGGGCCAGCGCTTTTTTCTGCTTTAAAATTTTATTTCATCTGTAAGAGCTTTGACTACATTTATGCACGTGCTCCGTGTGTGTCTGATGTCTGAGTCAGAGGTGGGTGTCAGACCCCCTGGAATTGAAGTCACAGATGTGAGGTGCCGTGTGGTTCTAGAGTCTGAACCCAGGTCCTCGGCAAGGCAAAGGGTGGACTTCGAGCCACCGCTCCAGCCCTGGGTCCCAGACTCTCTATCTGCAGAACTGTTGTAAGAAGGCTAGTAAGCTGGTGCTCGACTAGCCTGATCTTCAGTCTCTGTGGTCCAGAGAGTTCTAAAGTCCACCGTAGCAGGAGAGATCTCTCAGCAGGAGGCCACTGGGGAGGGCAGTTCAGACCTTGAGGCTTCAGGTGATAAGATGGCCTAACAAACCAGAGACCAACACACAGACGTGCTCTTGGTTAACAGGCACTTTGAACACTTCACCTTCAGTTTTCATGAAAGTCCACAATTCTTACGGAGTGCTCAGTGGTTCTGTAGGGTTTGGAATTCACACTCTTTGCATGGTACAGGGACAGGGTAGCAGCCGTCATCAGGCAGATTAGGAATTCTTAGCCAGATGTACACAGTCACAGCATCAAACAGGGGCTGTAAATGCCTCATCATCTCAGCCTCCTTGACACCACATGTGGCCAAATGAGTCAGGAAAGCTTGTGGTTTCCAGACAGTTTCTGGTTTTGAAATTGTGTCTAAGCACTAGAAGTTTATTTTCTTGACTTTAAGGCACATCTTATAAGCAACTCAGGAACAATGAAGCTGGCTGATGAACTTGCCGACATGTCTGACCGTGGCTCAAAGGCCATCTTGTAGGCCTGGCCTTGGGACACCTTTTCACTCTCTGCATGTGCCTCTGACTGGGTTGTAGAGTCACTGTGCCAGGGAGGCAGAGCAGTAAGATACAGAGGGGGTGTGAGGCCCTGGCCAGGGAGGCGGCGTGCTGGGCACACCGCAGCCCAGCCGGGGGAGGTCAGACTTCAGGCTTATGGCTATTGGTCCAGGGATTTGTCCACAGTGCCACACTGCATAGTGTCCACCGTGGATCATTCAGGGGTGTTACAATAAGCAAAGCAGGGAGAAAAGACACTGTGGGATTTTATTCCTGTCTTAGGACCGAATAAGGAATAAGGTGAATGTAGATGTTTTTGGAGTGGGCTCCAGCACTCTTCACCTGGACAGTCTCTCTCCTCTACTAATTACAAAGCCTTGAGTGCAGGATGTCATTATGTGTTGTCCCTTGTCCCCTATCCCTGCCCTGTTGTGACCCACTGTTTCCTCCGTTCCAGTGCCAGGACTACCGCGGTGGCTGGCTCACAGGCGCCCTGTGCGAGGACCTGTGCGTGGCCGGGGAGCTGCTGTACCAGCGCTGCCTGTATTATGAGCGTGGCAAGAAGGTGCTGCAGGCCCAGTGGAGGGGCCGGACTGTGGTCCTCAAATCCAAGAGGGAGGCTTTCTCCAGCTTCCCACCCCTCCATCTGCTGGAGGAGGAAACGGGGCCAGGTGCCCCGAGCATCCCCGAGGCTGAGCTGCTCCTGATGGTGGCTGGGGAAGTCAAGAACACCCTGGGCTTGGAGCTGCCCAACAACAGCATAGTTCCCCTGTGGCCTGCCAGGCAGGGCCCTGGCTGGCGGCAACAACTGGCCAGTGCGTGGTCACTGCTCCAGCAAGAGGAATACGTGTACTTCAGCCTGCTGCCAGATCTGAGCCGCCACATCCTGCCCGTGCTGGGATCCTGTGGCCACTTTTACGCAGTGGAGTACTTGGCTGCTGGTAGCCCTCACCACAGGGCTCTCTTCCCACTGGATGATGCTGGCCAGGCACAGGCTATTAGCCACATTGCTCTCAGCTTCCTGGACATGGTGAGCCATTTCGACAGCGACTTCTCCCACCGCCTCCACCTCTGTGATGTCAAGCCTGAGAACTTCGCCATCAAGAGGGACTTCACGGTAAGTGGAAGCAGGCTGCCATGTTTGTGGTGGAGAGAAGAGGCTCTGGTCTGTCTGTGTGGGAGGGAATGAGGTGTGGGCTTCCAGAAGGAAGCCAGTGCAACTGTGGGCAGCCTTGTGGCTCCTGGTCACTCCCGTTCCAGACCGCTTCCTTGCCAGGCAAGACAAGAGGATTTAAATAGCCCCATTGTCAGTGAAGGAGCCCACAGGAGGCAGAGGCCAGGCAGGAAGCAGAGGAAGTGCCTCATTTTCTTGAGGGCAGCTATGATGGCTGGTTAGTGCCAGTACAGGATCTGTGTGGGCTGCGGAGGGTAGGTTCCGGGACTGCAGATGGGGAGAACAGCCCCTTCCAGGCCAGGCATTCTGGGTCCACAGCACCTGGATGCTGAGATAGTCACTGCCTTCAGTGTTCTTTGGGAGAGAGTCTAGTCAGTTTCAAGTCTGCAATAGGACGTCTAGAGAGGCATGTGGAGTTCTGCCGTCCTAGTGGGGAAGAGAGCAGCTCAGTGAGCAGAAGCCTGCAGTAGAAAGATGAGCAGTTGTTGCCCTCCGCTTCCAAAAAGTCTTGTCACGGTCACTTGAGGTATGGATATAGCCATTATGAGTTCTGGGGACATAGCCACCTGAGATGGGGCATATAACCACCTGCGTCTTAGGGACATCGTAATGTGGAATGCTGCACTCTGGGCATGACATAGCCATTGTCTCCTTGAGCTCCTCAACAGCTGTGTTTACCTGCATGAGAGAACAATGTTGGGTCCATTTGTGACCCACAGTGGAGGGGAGGGAGGAGCTTGTGAGGTATAACACTGTTACTGTGAGTCCCCACTCCTCCCTGAAGACTTATTACTGGTTATCCTTATCAGAGAACTTGTTAGCAATGCAAATTCCATTTTCTGTCACATTTACCTATTTATTTTGTATGTGGGAGTCATGAATGCCACAGCATATGCAGAGAGGCTCAGTGTCAACTTGTGGGCAATGGTTCTGTCCCTCATACCATGTAGGTAGGGTGAATTCAGGTCCTAGGGTTGGTAACAAGTGCCTTCACCAGCCCCACAATGTAAATTCTCACACTGCACCTCAGACCTACTGAATCTGAGACACTGGAGAGGGCTGAGGCAGCACCTGTGATCCAATCCAATACGCAGGAAGACCAAGCAGGAAGATGGTGAGTTCAAGGCCAGCCTGGGCTACATGATGAGATCCTGTCTCAAAAACATGCAAGCAAGCTAACACTTTCCCAGCGGCTCTGGTCTGTGTTCAAGTTTGAGACCCTGCCCCCACTCCTGCTTCCAGAAGGTCGGTTTTATTCTTGAGCCTGGGCTGACCCCCTGCCCTGAGGAGAGGGAGGGAGTCTTATAGATGAGGCAAGGGAACAGAAGATTCCAAGTCTCGCAGCGCAGGCCTTCAGGCCTTATGCAGTACTTGCAAATGAATAACTGAGAAATGAAGGTGACCCCAAATCACATAGGCCTGCCTTTCAAGCCGGTGAGATGCTTCCTGCTCAAGAGAGGATTGTCACCAATGTTTCCAATCTGGTGCCCCGAGGAGGAGGAGGAGGTGTGAGCAGAGGACACTACTTGGGTCGTTTGTTCAGGATGAAGTCTGTGATTCTCTTGATGTTGAAAAGTTTTAGGAAGGGTCCCCTGTTTGTTTTGCTGCTGTTCTTATTTTAGGTACACAGGAGCTGCAATCCATTCTAGGCTACATAGTATAAATTAAAAAAATAAATCTGCCTCTCACTGGGAGATGAGAAGAACGTGTCACAAGTGGGGGTGAGGAGGAACACAGAGGCTGGAGAGAGAGCCAGAAATCAGGAGAGAATGGTCCTTGCCCTGACAATAAATTATAAAGACAGTAGGTTCACTAGCACAGCTCTCATTAATTAAAAAATTAAGTTATTACATTATTTTATGTGGTGATATATTGTGTACCCTAATAAATTTGCCTGAAGATCAGAGAACAGAACAAGCCACTAGATTAAACATAGAAGCCAGGCAGTGATAGCACACACCTTTAATCCTAGCACTCAGGAGGCAGAGATCTGTCTGGGTCTCTGTGAGTTCAAAGCCACCCTTGACTACATGAGATTGACTCAGTCTAAGAGAGAAACAGAGCCAGGCAGTGGTGGCACACGCCTTTAATTCCAGCACTTGAGATCTAGATCTCATGCCTTTGTTTGGGAAGCACTCATGCCTTTAATCCCAAGAAGTGATGACTGGGCAGAGAGAGGTCTATAAGGCGTGAGGAGACAGAACTAGAGTTTTTTCAGGCTGAGGAGCTGGTGAGGTAAGAGGTGGTGGCTGTGGTTTGCTCCTTTGTCTCTCTGATCTTCCAGCATTTGCCCTAATACTCTGGCTCTGGGTTTTTATTAAAAGACCATTTAGAATTTGAGTTGCAAGTTTATGTATATGGGTGTTTTGCCTGATGTATGTCTGTGTACCACTTAAAATCTTTCACTGTTTATTTTAGGTGTATGAGTGTTTTGCCTCCATGTATGTATGTATGTGAACCATGTGTGTGCCTGGTGCCCACAGAAGTCAGAAGAAGTCATCAGGTTCCCTGGAACTGGAGTTATGGATGTTTGTGAGCTACTATGTGGGTGCTGGGAACCAACCTGAGTCCTTTGAGAGAACATCAAGTTCTCTTGACTGACAAGCTCTCTCTCCAGCCCCTAGTTCTTAGTAATTTTCAGTGTTTTTAACCAAGCTAAGTGGTGAGATTAATTATTAATGTTGACCAAATAATGACAGGAAAGATTGATAAATTGTATAGGCTTGGGATGTAGCTCAGTGGTAGAATTCAACCTGGTGTTCACAAAGCCCTGGGTTCAATTCTCAGCATCACAAAAGAAAAAAAAAGGAAAGCAAAACACCCACTTTTAATAGGGTTAGGGGTGTGGCTCAGTGGTGGAATGCTTATCAGGCTTCTGTGCTGCCCCTGGGCTCCCCAGTATCTCCCCCAAAATAGCAACAAAAGGAGAGGACACCAGGTGGGAAGGGGATATGTTGGAGTGTGTGGTTGTGTGTGTGTGTGTGTGTGTGTGTGTGTGTGTGTGTGTGTGTGTGTGTGTGTAGGAAGAGAGAAATGGATACCAGATGTGCCATAAACAGAGCATCCTGCCATTGTTCGTAATCTTGGGGCTCAATTGTCTGTCTCTCATAGCATTTATAATCCCTACCCTCAGAGGTGTGAAGAAATGTGAAACTTAGCAGTCAAAAGGAATTCTCACCATAAACATAAATAAGTGGAAGGGTGGGGGAAGGGTAGATATGATCAAGACACATAGTACACATGTATGAACTTGTCAAAGACAAAATAAAAAGATTTTATAAAAAATTTGAAAAAAAATTCAACTCCCTCAAAACAAGCAACAACAATGAATTGTTTGCCATGCCTGAGTTTATCATTAGGTAAAGATCATCAAAAAGGGAGTTCTCTGTGCTTTGTTCTCATTATTCTGCACACATTTTAAAATAATTTATGTCCTCCCTGCTGTTCTACTGATATAGTCCCTGGGAAGCCAGTCCACTTCCAGCATCGATCCTGAGTGGAAAAAAAAAAAAAAAAAGAAAACGAAAGTAGAATCAATGAACATGCGTTCTGAAGCTGAATGACACCAGCAACTGAGCCCTCTCTGAGATGCTATGGGGGTGAGGGCTTGTGGGGCGCCAGTTCCTTCAAAGATGTCACATTTTGTAATGACTTCTTATCTCAAGGCTATCAGCTGTTGAACTTGGGCAGACTCCAGATTCAAGAGGATTTGAGTTCATTTTTTTTTTTTATCCAGGTGGCAGAGGAAAATCTGCATAATTTATAAGTTGTTCTTCTTTTTTTTTTTTTTTTTTTTGATTTTTGAAGCCTATTTGGTTGGAAGCCAGAAGGATACATCTGAAATTCCAGCAGTCTCCAAGTTCTTCCTCTGACAGTGGAATTCGTGGTTGATGCTGTTGAATTATGCATGCTGAATCTGATTTCAGCTGCCATTTTCCCGAGGCTCATCTGATTGGTCAGTTGACTTGGATACCAGATGTGCCATAAACAGAGCATCCTGCCATTGTTCGTAATCTTGGGGCTCAATTGTCTGTCTCTCATAGCATTTATAATCCCTACCCTCAGAGGTGTGAAGAAATGTGAAACTTAGCAGTCTGGAGAACTTCTCTGATTGTTTTGTTATTCATGTTGACAAATGTCATAGATGGTTAGAAAGGAACCAGAAGGAGGGGGCTGGAGAGGTGGCTCAGTGGTTGAGGGTGCCAGCTGCTCTTCTGGAGAACCTGACTTTGGTTCCCAGAACCCAGGTCAGGTGACTCACAACCACCTGTAGCCTAGCACCAGGAGAGCCAATGCCCTTTTTCAGCCTCACAGGTACTTGCACACCTGTGGCATATATGTGCACACACACACACACATACACATTAAGTACAAATAAAAACAAACTTTAAAAAAGCAACAGAAAGAAAATCCATTAAGTTATTGTACATATTCTACCTTTAAAGTCCAGGGAGGTCCAGAGATGAATGTTGGATGGGTGGTTACAGTCCCAAACCCTAGGCTCAAGTTAGTGACACCAAGGATCTTTACAGTCAAACTGTGGGACATGATTGGTGATACCAGCTTGTGTCAAAGGAAGCACTTGTGAAGGTGCTGGGGGCCTGGGCGTGGCCTCCCAACAGGTGGACTCCGTGGTCACAGTCATGTGGACCCATTCGACATCAGGACAGGAAAAGGAGCCGTGAACGGGTTCTCCCACAGGGCCTGCGCTGTTGTTCGATTGCTGTCCTTACTGACCTGTGCCTCTTCCATTTCAGGTGGTAGCTATCGACGTAGACATGGCGTTTTTTGAGCCTAAGATGAGGGAAATCCTTGAGCAAAACTGCACAGGAGACGAGGACTGCAACTTCTTTGACTGTTTTTCTAAGTGTGATTTGAGGGTGAACAGGTGTGGAGCTCAGCGTGTGAACAGCAACCTACAGGTGAGCAGCCCTGAGAGCCGGGGAGATGATGTTTGTGTCTGCAGGTCTCTGGGTTCGTTGTATTCCCCCGGGGCAGGATGGAGAGTTCTTCACCACTCCTTGTTTCTTACTGTCTGGGTGGTGGTTGCCCGAGTGACCAGTGGGGTCTGATGGGTGGAGGTCCCAGCACAGCCCCCAGAGGGCGGCTCCCGCTCTCTGCAGCTCCTCCTGAGGCTGCTTCCGAGAGATCGTTTGGAGGTTTTAGTGGGGCGATGCAGCTACTTGCAAGCTGTTGGTCAAAGAACGATCTTCCTCCTGTCTGGGACGGTTGACCAGCTTGCAGCAGCCGGCAGGATGGATGCCTGTGGAGGTGCTGAAACAGAAAGGACACACTCGCCCGGCCAGCCAGCAGCCACGTCAGCCTTGGTGACCCCTAAGGAGGAACGTCCTCAGCCCATTGGCCCTCCCACAGAAGGCGATGTGATCTTTCTGCCAGGGTCTGTAAATTCTCAGAGAGAAACAATGGGAGCCAGAGCTGAGGCCAGGGAGGCCAAGACCCACGATGCAAGGCAGTCCCGAGAAAGGGGGTCAACAGGGGAGGCTGGACAGACATCATCACAGACAGGCAGGACAGGTGGCAGGGAGAGTGAAGATGTGGATCCAGGAGGTCAGAGATGAGGAGCAGGAACTGCCTCTAGCTTTGTCAGTCACAGCGCGTCTGCAGGGAGGGAGACTGCAATCCCAGGGCTGAATCTCTCTCCCATCAGTTGGAAACTGCCCTTTCTCTTTGGAGGAACTGTCCCCTTCTGACTTCATCTGATGCCTTCAGGTGGGTGGGTGTGAACTTGGGCCCCCCAGTGCCCAGGTGCTGAGTGTAACCAGAGGATGTCCAAGCTGCTCCCGAGGGTGGGCTACCTCACGGCTGCCTGCCACGTTCACTCTCTTTTCTGTGCTCTTGCCTTATAAATTCTATTAATTTTATCATTCAGCCCACTCCCCCAGCCATACCTCCCTCTAGTCCATCCTCCCAAGGTGCTCGGTGTGCGTGTGCGTGCGTGTGTGTGTGTGTGTGTGTGTGTGTGTGTATGTGTGTGTGTATGTGTGTGTGTGTGTGTAGGGAGGACTTGATGGGATCCAACCTGAAACAAAACAGTTTAAGCTGGGTGCTCAGGAAGGCACAGTGTGGGGTTTTCATGCCATCAAGATGAGACCCGGGCAGCAGAGAGATCAATCTGGTGAATCTGCCGAGGTCAGGGAAAAACGCTGGTTCTACCACCATGGTCTACTCAGACTGCTACACCAACTGCCAGAATAACTGGGTGTTTCCACTTTCGGAAGGCTCATCGGTGATGTAGGCTTTTGGGGTGCTATCCCAGCCCCTTCCATATGGAGCTACCCCTTGATGGATCTGAGGGCCCTGTCTTTGAGTCATGCAGACAATATGGTTTTCACCTGTGTCCACACCGTCTCTGATCTCATCCACACATCTTGTGTTAAGAGAAACTACAGAACCAAAAAAAAAAAAAAAAAAAAAAAAAGCCGGGTGGTGGTGGCACACGCTTTTAATCCCAGCATTCAGGAGGCAGAGGCAGGTGGATCTTTGCGAGTTCGAGGCCAGCCTGGTCTACAGAGCAAGATCCAGGAAAAGGCACAAAGCTGCACAGAGAAACCCTGTCTCAAAAAAACCAAAAAAAAAAAAAAAAAAAAAAAAAAAAGAGAGAGAGAGAGAAACTACAGACTAGCAGAAATGGTTCTGTGGGTACAGAGACTTGCCAAGCCCAACTCTTTGGTATTGACTCCTGGGACTCACACAGGAAAAGGAATTGACTCCTGCAAACTGTTCTCTCTCTCTCTCTCTCTCTCTCTCTCTCTCTCTCTCTCTCTCTCTCTCTCTTCCTCTCTCTCTCACACACACACTGCATATATTAAATAAATAAATTTAAACAAAGAGCGAGGAACTAAGGTTATATCCTTAGGACACAGAGGGCTCTTATTAAGAAGCAATTGGACTTTGAACCAAAGAAAACTGGAAGGAGAGGCCAGAATCCAAACAGCCGAAGGATTTAGGAAATTATTTCATCTCATTTAAAGATATAATTAAAATTATGATAATTAAAACTCAACAACAATATGCTTTTGCCAGTGGGGAATAGTTGCTAAAATGCCATTAATTAATAGTTGAAGCTTCAGGGAGTTAAGTGAGTTGTCTCCACCCTTAGCGTGATACTGCGTTGTGGCTCTGGATCACACACACTCATTACTGAGTGTGACTATTGTCTTTGAATACAGATCCAGAGGTCAAAATGTGCTTTCTTTGTGATGTAGTATAGAGCACTACACAGAAAAAAAAAGTCAGGTTATAAGCGAGCATTTATACTACGATATTGTGTTTACTAAATAGTATTTTATTGGAAAGACAGATGTGCTTGGTTGTATTAGCGTTCAGTCACTGTGACGAAATGCCTGACTCCATCTGCTTATGATGAAGAAAATTTAATTTTGGGTCATGATTCCAGAGGTTTCCGTCTACAGTCTGATAGCCCCTTTGCTTTTGGGTCAGTGGTGGGGCACAGCAACCTAGCTGGGTCGTGTGGCAAAGAACAGCTGTTTACCTCAAGGAGGCAGGGAAGCCAAGTGGAAGAGAAAGACCTCCATCCCAGGATCCCTTGCAAAGCACACACCAGTGACCTCACTCCCTCACACCTCTTCAGATCCCCACCACATCCTAGCAGCACCACAGGTTGGTGGCTAAGCCTTCAGCGTGTGGGCCTTTGAGGCACACCTAAGATGAACTCCATTTACATGTCTGATGGGTTCCGATTCAGTTTCTGAGGACATTCGGAGGAGCTATGCCCTCTCAGGGGAGCCTAGTGTTGGGGTTTACTTGTTGCTCAGAAGCTCCTGCCGGTGACTCTGCTGGAGAGGACAGAGCTATGGTGTATTTTCCTAGAAATTTAAAATTTTTGCAAAGGAAAAGGGTGATTTCTAGTCAAAAGAGAATTAAAAATATATAGATTTTTAAATAACACCTTTGCCAGGAGAGGGACATAAAAATCAAGGGTTGGTTTGTTTGTTTTGGAGACAAGGTTTCTCCGTGTAACGGTCCTGGCTGTCCTGGAACTCCCTTTGTATAACGGTGCTTCTTGAATGTGAAGGTGTTTGGTAATGAGGCTGACAGAGGCCTGGTAAAGGAAAGTGAAGCATGTTCTCTGTGCAGCTCCCAAGCAGTGGTCCCCACCGTGGGGTTGGGGACCTCCTGGAAACCTGTAGGCAAATAATGTGTGAGGAGTCTGAAGAGCTCTCGTTCCCCACTGGATTTCATGGCCTTTTAGCAACAAAGCCTATGAAATTGCGGCTTTTTTTTTTTTTTTTTTCCTTCCCGAAAATAAAGCTGTTCAAAAGCTCCTTCCAGGGCCTGGTGCCTGCACAGCTTTCCCCTGGAATGTTCGTTTCCTCCTGGGCCTCGGAGGACTGTAAAGATAAAAGCCCACACTTGCATGCTACTCTTTACTAGTGTTCTGTTGACTCTCAGGATACAGCTGCAGGCAGCTATTGCTTCACCCCGCTGTGAGGGGATCAGTCCATCTAGATGACAGACAGCAGGCTGCCCTCTGCCCTGCCATGGGCCAGCTCCTTACTGGACAGCTCCTGCCTACGTACGACTCTGCTGTGATTTCTTTTCGGAAATGTGCTCAGTCCTTTCTGACCTGCAGAGGGGCCAACTCCTCACACAGAGATGGCGGCCTGAGACTCGGCTCTGCTGTGGGATGCTCTGTAGGTTAAATGTGTTGCTCTGATCGGTTAATAAACAAAACACTGATTGGCCAGTAGCCAGGCAGGAAGTATAGGCGGGACAAGGACAGAGGAGAATTCTGGGAAGTGGAAGGCTGAGGCAGAGAGACGCTGGGCCGTCATGAGAAGATGTTAGGATACAGATAAGCCACAAGCCACATGGCAACTTATAGATGAATAGAAATGGGTTAATTTAAGATATAAGAACAACTAGCAAGAAGCCTGAGCCATTAGGCCAAACAGTTTAATATAAGCATCTGTGTGTTTACTCAGTTGGGTCTGAGCAGCTACTGGACTGGTGGCTGAGAGAGATTTGTCCTGACTGTGGGCCAGGCAGGACCAGGAAAACTCCAGCTACACGGCTCTGCTGTGTCTTTGGAAATACGTTTAGTTCTTTTAGAATGACTCGCTTCCCCGAATTAACCTCTCACTTTCCCCCCTCAGGTCATCTGCGATAAAATATTTCGACACTGGTTCTCCTCAACTCACAGGAGTCCCGCCGTCTCCCCGCAGCTGCGGCTGCAGCTACAGCAGGCTGTTCAGGAGTGTGCTCGCCATGGGGGCCCCTCTGGGAGCTCCTGGACTGCCTCCTCCAGTGTGTTCTGGAAGCTTCGATGGCTCCTGCAGGCCACTCTGAGAGAGCTGCAGGGGGTGGAGATGTAGCGGCTGGCCTTCTTGCCTTAGTCATCAAGAGTGGACAGAGGACGTGACCTTCAAGTGATTTCTCGGGTTGTCGCTATGCAAATGCGCTGTCTGCGCCATTGACCCGGTCTTCCGAAGTGTGGGATCGACTTTCCCTTCTGTGGCTGCGATGTGGACCACCCTTGCTCCTGCCCAGCTTGGTGGTTCGATCTGGGTTGGTGCTGACTTCTGTCCTGCCACCCCCTAAAAGTGAGCAGAGGGAGGAGATTCGGAGTATTTGACTTGTGGAGTGGCCAGTGTGCAATCCTCTGTACCTGGCCATTAGGGACAAAAGGCAGCTGCCCCCTGTTAGCCACTAGCAAGCGAAAGTGTGAATGTGAGTGTCCAGATGAGTGTGTTTGCAAATAAGTGTGTACATATATGTGCACCCATGAGTGTGTGAACGTGTTTGCATATATGAATGTGTACTGTGTATATATGAGTATGTAAATACACATGGGCTTGTGTGCACATGGGTGGATTGCACAATAGTCCCACGGTTATGAGTGTTCCCGCATGTGTGTGTATACGCACATGAATGAGTCAGTCTGCCTGTGAATCTGTGCTCATGGATGAGTCAATGTTGAGTATACCCAGGCATGTGTGCATATACGAGGGTGTATACATATGGAGGTGAGTAAGTGTGTGGGCATGCGGAGCCTGTGTGGGGGGGTGGCTTTCTAAATGTGCCCTCTAGGAACCTTGCTGGCAGAGAAGTGTTACTTTTCTCCTGTAATTAAATGCAATAAAAAGTTGTGTCTTCAGGAGCATGATTTGCACTGGAGAGTATGTGGAGTGGCAGCTTTTAGTGCTTTTCATTTTGTAGAATTTTAGGAGCACTTTACCACGCATTATAATCTTCCTTCTAAGTAGGGACCACGTGTCTGCAGAAAGCAGTGTGTCTTGCCACCACAGAGACAGTTTAATAGAGTGCTGGGGTGATCTCCGACCACAAACAACTGGGGAGCAGTGTGTTTGGGCCGACGGACTGAAGACCTGGCCACGGGCATCAGGCTCTGCTGTGGTGCCGTATGCTCTTCGGTGGACTTGGTGAAGGTCTTCTGCAATGGCTGACTCACACAAAGCAGGCCAAACACTGTGTTGCTCCCCAACAGTACCAGGTGGAACTAGCAAGCCTTGTACCCAGCAGGGTCTTGCTTCTGCTCAGAACAGGGACCTCTGGTTTCACAGTGAACCCAACCTCTACAAGTCACAGTAAAAGGGGGCTCAAGAAAGATGTGGTGTCTTGAGGACTTGGAAGGGGTGCCAGCGGCTTACAAGGAGAAACAGACAAAATTTGAAGTTTTAAACATGTACAAAATGACAGACACCTCACCTTTTCCTCTTCACACAACACCTTTCCAACCCAGAGAACTGTCGCTCTAACTCCTGTGGATGCTCTTCTCAGGACTGTGCGCCCAGGCTGCATCCTGAGAGGATCCAGGACACCCAGAGGTCACACCAGCCCCGATGCTATCTATGATCCTGAAGGCCTTTCCCACCTCCTCATCCCACCCACCAGCAATTTGCCAGACAAAGCTGACTTTCTCAAAGGATGTCCTCCACCCCGTACCCGAAGTCTTGCTTTCAGTTTGTGGGTCACTCTGTGGCGGAAGTAAGTGGAACCCCAAGGTGCTCAGGCTAGCAGGGTCTCACAGGTGGCCCGGCCTGCCGCTGCTGAGCAAGGCTCCCATTCCCCGGCAGGATCTGAGGCAGCTGTTCCTCCACTGGGGCTGGGTGGGTTCCACGCTGTGGAAGAGTCAGAGGCAGGAGGATGGTGTGAGATGGAGGTTGAAGCTCCGGGATTCCTTTCCGGGCTTAGCTACCTGTGGACTGATGCTCTGCCTCTGTGCTGGGACTCAACTGAGCCACCCTGGAGTGACGGGAACGGGGGTCTTCCTTCGTGGCCCCGAGCCTCCTGGCCAGCAGCTATTCCCATTTACTTCCGAATGGAAATAAATGTTTTTGTTGACTGTGGAGACTATGCGATATATAATCACCCAACACAGTAGCATCTCTTTCTGCTTGTTTTTAGCTACCCATTTACACACACACACACACACACACACACACACACACACACACACACACGCTCCCTGCCTGAGGATTCCTTTTAAGGCAGTGGTTCTTAAACTGTGGTGAAATTCATTTTTTAAAAAATGTTTAAACCTTTCAGAATACTGCTTTTATGTAATACAACAAATATGGTATTATCAGTGTTCAGGTTTTTGTTTTGTTTTCAGTACTGGGGGCTGAGTACAGAGCCTCGGGCAAGCTAGGGAAGCACTATACCACTGAGCTATGCACCCACCCCATGTTTAATATTTTTAATGTGACAAATGAGACTAGCTGTTGTTAACCCGACTGAGCAACAACCATACTGATGAGCAGAAAATATTTGTTTTAGTAACACTCGTAACAGACAAAACACTGTCTTCAAGAGTTTTATCCTAATTAAAACCGGCTTATTTTACTCTGAATCTTTTCGTCACAAATCAGTTTTCAGAGCTTATCCTGGCTAGCACTAACGTGGTCTTTTGATGAAAGGATTCTGGACTCACATGCCTGTTAACTTACGGCTGACTGGTATGAACAGTTTCCCTGTTCTCTTGCATGAACATCACAGGCTACTTGAGTTCCCGGAGCGGGTCCCTGAGTGGGTGTCTTGCCCATATCACATAATAGTGGAAATACAAACACTGCTGGACTCTCAGCTCCTCACGGAGATCGAGGCGCTAACCGCTCACAGGCAGGCCTCCCCTTCGATGTCCAGCAGACTTGTTTCCCGAGGGCCCTACCCTGTGATTCCACCCCACTGGCTGGTCCTTCTGGAGCACCCAGAACCCGTGACCAGGACGTCACCCTAGGTACGGGAAGGGGCAGCTACTCCAAAACTTGGCTGGGAAGCTCTTCCTTGAACAGCTGGATGTGCTGGAGTTTGGCTGAAATTTTCTAAAACCAACATAGAAAAGAGGCTCAAATTGCTGTCCTGGTGTCCCGCAGTCGGTAAGCAAATGCCGCTCTGGTTCCGACATCCAGCAGGTGCGCGTGAGAAAAGTGCTTTGGAAAGAACGTGTGTCTCCACAGCACACGCATGCATACACACACACACACACACACACACACACACACACACACACACACACCCGGCTTCCCTTTCCTGACATTTGAAGATGCAGCCTGTGCCAAGGGCAGAGGCTGATGGAGCCAGAAGTCACTTTGATTTGAAAAATGCCTCTCAGGTGGGGGTGGTGGATCTTATTACTTCGGAAGGAGAGGTGAGAGGCTGCAAATTTGAGGCCAGCCTGAGCTACACAACGAGTGTGAAGCCAGTTAGAGCCGTACAGTGAGTTCCAGACTAGCTGTGCTACATATTCAAACCACACACAGCCACGAAACCAAAGACCAAAACAGAACAACAATTCCTCTGGCAACTAGTGAGGAAGGGGAGTGAAGATGCCTTCGCAGCAGCCACGCGTCCTTCGCAGCAGCCACGCGTCCTTCACAGCAGCCACGCGTCCTTCACAGCAGCCACGCGTCCTTCGCAGCAGCCACGCGTCCTTCACAGCAGCCACGCGTCCTTCACAGCAGCCACGCGTCCTTCGCAGCAGCCATGCGTCCTTCCCAGCAGCCATGCGTCCTTCACAGCAGCCTTGTGTCCATCTCTTTGGTGGATTTCCTGTACCTAGACTGCACTCATTTCTCGTCAGGCTATCTGCTTTCAGTGAGAATAACTACCTGTGATGGCCATTTTTTGTTGTCAATGTGACTCCATCTGGAATTAACTAAAACCCAAGTGGCTGGGTACACCTGTGAGGGATTTTTCTTAATTAAATCATTTGAAGGCCCCACTTTAATCCAGGTCCTTGGAGGTGGGAAAATACACAATTAATCCGGACCCCACCTTCTGCTGGCAGCCTCTATATAAGGACATGGAGGAAGGAAGCTTTTGCTCTTTGCCTGATTGCCCTCAATCTCACGGGCAAGCCCATCCCTTCGCTGACATTGTGCCCAGTGCACACTGAGGGTAGATAATCTCTTCTGGGAAGATTTACCTTTTTCACCACAAAGGTTAAAAATGTTACTTTTCCTCTCATTCTCACCAAGACTATAAATTATTAGTTGATCGTTGTTATCTGCTGGGTAGGAAAGGCAAACTCAGGTCTCTAGTTTTTACTAAGGGATATTTGATCACACTGTGAACCTCAAGATTGCATTAATTAAATAAAATCAACCTTGGGTCAAGAGGCAGAGCCAGCAATTAGTTGACAGGAAGTAGCCTCAGAGAGGTAGAGGGAGTCTGGAAAACAGACAAATGCACAGGAAGTAGTAGGGAGGACCTTTGAGTTTGGTGGTCTTTTTTGGTTTGGGACAGCAGAAGAGAAGCTGTCTTTCTGAGATGCTGGCAAAGGAGGAAGGTCAGCTGGTTGCTCCTCTGCCTCTCTGAGGTAGCAGGTTTTCACCCCAGCATCTGACTCCTGAGTCTTTATTGCTAAAATCGTAAGATTGAGATTTATTTTAAATACAAGTTTTCTTTCCTATATAGTACAGGTGAGGCCAAGTCCTCATAGTAGCTCTGTGTCAGTTCTTTGGTTACTGTGCTGTGCATATACTTTGCCCAGTGTTCATGGAGTTGCTCTCTCTCTCTCTCTCTCTCTCTCTCTCTCTCTCTCTCTCTCTCTCTCTCTCTCTGTGTGTGTGTGTGTGTGTGTGTGTGTGTGTGTGTGTGTGTGTGTGTGATCTCATCCACATGTATGTGGAGGCCAGAGAGGTTGACATTCAGTATCATTGCTTTTTTTTTTCCCCAGAGGTAAAGATTTATTGATTTCTATGTCATACAGCTGACTTTTCAGACCAAAAGAGGATTTGGTTTTTCCCATCTCAATTGCTTTTTCACATTGCTTTTCGAGGCAGGGTCTTTCGATGAATCTTGAACTCACTGAGCCGAGCTGTTTGACCAGCGGGCATCAGGGTTGCTTCTCCCTTTCCCACCACCCCAGTGCGGGAGCTGCAAGCATGCATGGCATGCCTGGCCTTTACTGGGGTGCTAACAACAGAACCCAGGTCCTTAGGCACACACAGCAATTAGTTTATCGGCTGAGCCCTCTTCCCAGGCCTCATGAGACTGCCCTTTCACAAGGATAATTAGTGTAGCATGTATTCTGCGCTGTTCTTTCTGAGAAACTTCTGCTCACCTGTTGTCATTGGAGATGAATGAAGTGGCTCCTCTTTGCTAGGAACAGGTACTTTTTATTTCAGTGTTTAGTGAATGCTGACCTTCAGGGTACAGCCCTGCCTGCCCATTTTCCCAACGGAAGATGACGGCGTCTTAGTCAGCTTCCTGTCCTTGTGACAAGAGATTGGAAAAGAAGGAGAGGCTTGGGTTGGCTTGTCGTCTTGGAGGTTTGGTTTAGTTCACACTTGTTAGGTCTGGTTGCTTGTGACAGGTCAGCACAGCATGGCGGGAGCACAGGGCAGAGGGAAGATGCTTGAGGGCCAGGAAGCCAGAGGGAGGGAGGAGAGGGAGAGAAGGTTTCCATACAGCCTTCAAGGGTTTGCACTCAGTGACCTTTTCCACTAACTGGTTCTACCTGCTGGCATTTCCACCTCCTCCCAGTACCACCTCCTCCCAGTACCACCACCAAGAGAACCAAGCCGGAGGATGCTGGCTTTTGTTTAACTGTCAGAATTTGGGGAAATGGAGTTTCCTTTTGGACCTGACACTACCAAGCCTGCCCACCAGCCTCTGATCTCCCTGGAACTCACAGCTTCTCATTCTCCTTATAACCCCGCTGTTTCCTCTGTGGCTCCCTTTGTCCTCTTAGTCTTCTTTCTGCCTTCATCTCTCACTCCTACCCTACCTGCCTCTACTCTGCTTCTCTCCTGGCCAGGTCCAGTTGGCCATGTGCAGTCTACTACTCTCTCTTTGCTCTGGACTCTTTCAGATACCTCTGGATATTCTCTCCCTCATATCTACGATAAAAACCTTCCCTTTAACCATGCCTTGGAACAGTCCTGTAGACAGTTTATACGGACAGCGAGGGCTTTTACCAGGTAAGCCATCTTCCCAGCTCTTCTGTAGCATTTCTAATGAACCTCAGCTTCAGCAGTTTGTTAAAGACACTCCCCCTGAAAATGTAAAAGGGGCTGGACCAAGATCAGTGTCAATGAGAATAATAAATTTACGTTAAAAAACTATGAGATTATTTCTGTATTTTTTGATAACTGGATTGCTTGGTTCTTGAATGGACAGTTTAGGTGACAATGTTGTGTCACAGTGTCAAAAGGTTGGGTCCTGTTGTAGAGTTCTGTGGTCTAGGCCACAGGATTCTATCACATCCAGAAGCCATCATGCATCTTCATAACATTGCAGCATCCTTTCGGGAGTTCCAGGGTTCCTTCAGGAAGCCCGGTGCTTCTTCTTGCTGCATCTCTCCCCTTGCATTGCTGAGGATGCCCAGGGTTTCCATCTGACCCTCAAGCAGTGCTGATGGAATTCCCGTGCTTGTTCCTGCTTCTCTCTCTGGGGCAGGCATTGACTGGGACTCTGTTCGGGTCAGCACAGAAGACCTGAAGGTTTTAGTAGAGCAGGGTCACAGTTTCCCCTCTTTAAAAGCACATTTTCCAGGTGTTGCGCTCACCGTTGAGAGAACATATAGGAATACGGAGTCTGTGCACTTGCAGGCTAGCCTCTGACCCCCAGACCTTCCTTCAGGCTCTCCCAGTGTTCTGAGTCCTCCTGTGGTACCATTCTCTTCTCTTTAATCACTCTCCCTTTCATCCTGTCCAGTGTCCTGGCATTTCTTTGAAGACTGAGAGATGAAACCAGAGTGAGCAGCGTAATAAGAGGTTGTATAATTTTGAGAAAGCTGCACCGTCCTCTAAATTGGCGCTTTTGATCAGTGTTCTTATTGTAAACATTCCTTCTGCTGAATTGTAAGCTTGGCTAAAACATCTTTCTTAAAACATTTGCTGGAATCATCTATAGGCCAATTCTTCTCTAAATCTTAGTTGTTCCAGGCACAAAGAAACACTCCAGACCCTCACCCAGCAACCAGGTGACTGCATGGGTATGAAGAGGTTGACTTCTCAGGGTGGCTGTCTGTGGGAGAGGAGTAAACAGTGCCCTGGGAACAAACCATGTCTGTGATCTCGGGCAGTGGCAACATTGAAATGCTGGGTGTGGACTCTCGTGCCTTTAATCCCAGCACTTAGAATACCCGGGGACAGACTGTGCTACAGAGTGAACGACAGGCTAGTCTGGGCCATAGAGGGAGCCTGTCTGAACAAAGCAAAGCAAACCAAAATGTAACAGGAGACTTTAAGCCTCTAATCCACCAGTCTCTGTCATAAACAATAGACAGAGATCAAACCAAAGACCTGTATTATCTATGTTCTCACACTCACACTCCTACATGTGTATGCACTCATGCTAACACACACACACACACACACACACACACACACACACACACACACA